CAATTAGAAAATAAATATATAAGACATTTAAATATGGAAACTTTCAAATGAAGTTTTTAGCATTTGTATTTCTGAAGTTATTAAAGCTTAAAACTGCACTAAGGCTTGGGACACAGTGTATTAACTCACTGAACCCTCCCGACTCCTTTAAGCGGTAGGTGCTGTTATAATATCCATTTGCAGATGAGGAAATTGGCGATGCTGGGAGTGATGTGGATTTCCCAAAGTCACACTGGGAGCAGTGGCAGAGCTGGGCTGGACCTGTACTCTATGCTCTGTCCGCTATAGCTGGCCTGAAGCCCAGACCCCTGCTTCACTCTTCCCTGGCTCTCCATGGGACGGGTCGGGATTGGGACCTGTAGGTGGGGTTTGAGGGAAGGACTGCCACAGGATCCAGGTGTCCGCCCTCCGGCATCTCTACACTTCCAAGACAAGGCAAAGAAATGGGCCTCCAGGCAGTACTGGATCCTTAAATTCTCTTTTCCAACCACCTCTGCACAAGTACTCTCCTGGCGTCCCCTCCCCACGGGAGAGCCCTGGTCTGCTTCCCTCTCCTCTAGGTACAACATGGGGTGTACAGACTCTGGCAGGAGCAGCCCTCTGGATTTTCCACTGCAGGCGAATGAAAGCGAAGCCAGGTGCAACTCGAGCCCTAGAACAATACTGATCGGCCGCGAGATGGTCCAGGAAGCCTCCATTTCACCCACTGTGCCAAGCCCCTGTGTATTCCCTGGCAGCAGCATCTACCCCAGCTCAGAACCTTGGGTCCCTGGCCTGGTTATGAGCAAGTCTCTAGCCTCCTACCCTGGCTGCAGCTTGGCCCACTCCTCAAGGTACCCATGCTGGGTGAGTCAGGGGTTAAAATGAACCCCGTCCCCCTGGGGCAGCCAACCCCTTTGCTTCAGCCACTGTCACTTCCTGTTGCTCATGTGAAGGGCTCCCTAACCTGCCGAGCCAGGGGAGGGACTTGCTCCCCAGGAATTCCAGGCACTCCTGGCCCTGGGGGCAGGGGATGGGTGATGCCCCACATCACCCATCCCCTGCCCCCAGGCTTCTCTCTGCCTTCATGGCTTCTCTCTGCCCAGATCTGCTTGGCTTTCTGAGGGTGAAAGCCTGCTTTGCTACTGGGGCCTGGATAGAGAACCTCTAGCTGAGTTTCAGAAGCATGCCTAAACAGGGTTAAGTCTTCCCTCCTACTCAGGTGCCCAGAAAAGGTGAGTGGGGAGTCCCAGCCAGTCCCGCCAGGTGGCTGGGAGTCTCCACAGTGGTGACCTCAGAGCCTCCTGAAGCCACTTGCTAACAGCATCAGAATGTGCTGACCTTGAAGGACAAGGCGCGTGAGAGGGGCCCTGTCTCCTTCCATCTGCACTCTGACCCGCCCTCCCAGCTGCTCCGGTCACCTGCTGCACTATCTGGGCACAAGTGTCTGGTCCTAGAGGATGGGATGAGGGAATCCTGACAGGTGTAGAGGACGTGGGTAGAGTAGGGGATTGTGGGGGCAGGGGCATATTTATGCTCAAACAGTCCTTGAACTCAGCCTACTCCTCTCAGGGCCCAGGGCCTCGGCTGGCTCCCTCCTCTCCAGCCTGTCACTAGGCTCTGTCTATCAGGGGCTAGCACCCACTGATCCACCAGCTTAATCCTCTTGCCTGCCCTGCAAGGGGTCATCCAAGGGAATTTGGGTCCATTTCTCTTTCTCCTGCTCCCAGTAGTTATCCAAGAGCTGGGGGAGGGGAGGAGGTAAGATAAAGAGATTGGAGATTAAGGCAAGAATCCTGACTGGTGGAGAAGAAGTGGGTGGGCCCAGGGCAGTTTCTATAGGGTGCTCCTTGATTTGGGGTTGTGAGTGGGGTGGGCATCTCTATGCTTCCAAGACAAGGCAAAGAAATGGGCCTCCAGGCAGTATTGGGATCCTTAAATTCTCATTTCCAACCACCTCTGCCCAGGTACTCTCCTGGTGTCCCTTCCCCAGGGGAGAACTCTGGTCTCCTTCCCTCTCCTCTAGGGCCTTATCTTTCCTCTGTTCTCAGCCTCCGGAGGAGCCTTTGGTCTTGCCCCTGACACCCACCAGGCCCAGTGGAGTGGCCTCTTACATGCTATCCTAGATACACTGATGTCTTTCCTCTAGGTAGAGTCCCAGAGAAGCTCAGATACCAAAGGGGCAGCTACTGACCTGTGTCCAGGGGCACTGGATGGGAGCTGGGGGCTTCTTCTTCCACAGCAGGGCAGGGAATGCAGTGGAAAGTCCAGAAGCTGGAGCCTGACTCCGGGCTGGGTAATCCGGAGCTCAGGTTACTGACTCCGATATATATAGTATCTTATCTGACCTCGCACACTCGCAGAGATGGTGAGCGCAACTCACTTGCATTCCAAGCCCCGGGAGAATTAAAGGGGCAGTGGCGTACCCACCCTTGAGGGGCTGCCCTTTCAGGCCAGTGCCAGCCAAGGAGGTCTGTAAGGACTCTTGGAAGGGGGACATTTTGAAGGGGAACAATGGGGAGATTCAAGAGGAAAGAGGACTGAAAAGAGCACGGAGGGGTGGGGGTGGAACTTGAGACAAAAAGACGGAGAAAGTGGATTTTCCAGAGCAGTCAGTCACAGGATTAGAGAACAGGAAGAAGCCATACTGTTAGCCCCACTCTTAATTTTGAGATAGAGTAGACCTAAAGAAAGAAAGCAGCTTGCTCAAGGGCATATACAGATAGCCAGAAGCAGAAAGGGGACTAGTACTCAGGTTTCAGTCCAACATTCTTTTCTAATGGACTTCTCGGCCTGGGCTTGGAGGCTAGTTCTTTCCCTTATTGGCTCCAAAATAGTGGATAAGTCACTTAAGTTCTCTGAATCTTAGCTATTTAATCTACAAAACAGGAATAATAATAATAATGGTCTATCTCAGTTGTGAGGATTAAATAAATTAATATTTGTAAATTTCCTGGCCCATAGTTAAGAGTTCAATAAACATGATGATTATATTGAATACTTCCACTTATTATAATTAGTGGTATTATTAGTGATGGCACCTTACCAGGAGAACTTTCCTAGGGAGAAAAGGAAGGTTACTCCTGGGGAAGGGTTCTTTTCCCTTTCTTTCTTTCTTTTCTTTTCTTTCTTTCTTTCTTTCTTTCTTTTTTTTTGAGACAGAGTCTCCCTCTGTCGCCCAGGCTGCAGTGTAGTGTTATGATCTCGCCTCACTGCAAGCTCTGCCTCCCGGGTTCACGCCATTCTCCTGCCTCAGCCTCCCGAGTAGCTGGGACTACAAGCGCCTGCTACCATGCCCGGCTAATTTTTTTGTATTTTTAGTAGAGACGGGGTTTCACCGTGTTAGCCAGGATGGTCTCGATCTCCTGACCGCGTGATCCACCCGCCTCGGCCTCCCAAAGTACTGGGATTACAGGCATGAGCCACTGCTCCTGACCGGACGTGTGCCTTTCTAATGCCAGAGAACAGTCCCACGGTTTTTTGAACTGACTATGTCCCATAACCGGGAAGGGCAAACAAGGCTTGCCATCTTCCTAGATGTCCAGTCCACCAAGCAGAGAAAGGCCAAGCCCATTTGGGCTCCTTCCCCCTTTGCCTAGAAAAATACGGCAAGCACAGCTTCCCCCAGACCACCAGGAGAATGCTTGGCCCCTCTGGGGTGGTTCCACTCTACCTGTGGGAGGGCTCAGGGTTCCAGGGCCACAGAGCTGGGCTGGGCAGGGTCACAAGAGGAAGGAACAGGGTTCTTAGCCTCTCTGGCCTTGGTGCACTTGTCTGCTCCCAGGACGTCTTCTCGATGGCTCTCCCCCAGGACTGGGAGTACCCAGCTTGGTGCCTCCACCCTGTCTTAGCACCGGCTACTGACTCAGCCCAGGTCCTGATGATGCACTTCAGAGGACGCCCTCATTCCAGTCCTCATTCTGACTCTAGTCTGACTTGCATCTACAGCATCAAAGGAAGGGGCCTGCCTCGACCTTAGTCCAGTCAGTTCTCCTTTCCTCTGCTTTACCGGGGTCCATTTGGGGGATGTTCTCATGCCCATTCCAGGGGAGGTGAGCAGCCCCTACCACTACCTCCAGCTCAGTCCCATTCTAAAGGCAGCCAGGTCAGGAGGTAGGATGTTCACTCTTCAGGGAAGGGCTGGAATGGGTTGGCTAGGGCTTCCCTTGACTGTTGAGAAGTTGCTCTCTTCGGAACACCGCGTGCATGCTTCTGGTTTGGGATTGGTGAGAATTTCAAAGCTGCCTTTTTCTGGTTAGGGATTGGTGGAAAATCTCCCCTTCCGCTTAATTGTTGCACACCCCATGCCCCCAACCCCCTTTAGCAAACTGACCAGATACAACACGGGGAGCTTTAAGAGCAGCGAGTGAGCTGCACGCACACATGGGGAGGGGTGTCAGTGTCACTCTCGGGCCACATACCACCGATATACCAGGGCACAGCGAGGAGGACCCGCCGAAGCAGCATTTCCTTAGAATACACTGATCAACACACAGATGGCTTTTCCTGGCCCCCTGGGCTGTCAGCAGGCAGCCCTCACACAACTGGCAGACACAGCTGGAGCGTCCCTGCACAGCCGGCTCTCTCCCTATATTTCTAGTGTTCACTCTGCCCAGGCTGTCGTGAACACCTTACTTTCTGAGCCCCAAACCGGCACTGATCCCCGAATCCCCCCTCCCCGATTCCCGACAGGTGGCACGTACCTGCCTCTTCTTGGAGGATGGACGAGTTGAACCGGGCACAAGCATGGAGCTGCGGGTGAGTCCCGGCTGGCGCTGGCGCTGGCGCTGGCGCGGCGCAGTCCGCAGCTGACGCAGAGAGCTCCCCGGCCTCGGCTCCTGCCTGCCTCTCTCCCACCTCCGCCGGGGTCCCAGAAGGGACCTCCCCGGGAAATCGGCGCCACCCAGCGGGCAGCCGCCTCATCGCGCCTGGGCCGGCAGAGCCACACCCCCGCGTCTCGCGTCACCGAGTCGCGTCACGGCTATTGGCTTGTTCCTATTGTGGCGTCATTAGAGCCCGGCCCGGCTGGGGTCTCCCAGGCAACCGATATACACAGAGAACCACGTGGAGGAAAAGCACGCGAGTTTGGAGTGGGTGGAGCAGGAACAGAGGTGGACTGGAATGTCACACGACGGGGCAGCTGGAAGGTATTGGGAAAGAAGAGGGGTCATGGGAGAAGGCTCGGAACTTGAGCCCCGGGGCATATCAACTTCCAGTTTTTAGGGAAGGCTAACCATCCCCCACTACCCTTCTCACCGGACTGGGGGAGGTCCTGTTCCTCAGCCTCTTCTCTTTTTCTTTACTCTCAAAGACACTCGCCGCTCATTTTACTTCCATGGGACCAGTGATTAGTGATGAGTGCCCGAGTGGGTAAACGGAGGCACTGAGTCAATGGAAGGAATTCTCTTTGGTCTTTTCAAGAAAAAGCCGAGACAAAACTTGAATTTTTGCTGATCCCATTACTTTTGTGTAACCTTCTCCCCACTCCCCCGATGTTGATGAGGAAAACTGCACAACCAGGTAGCTGGGTACCAAGGCAAATCCAGGTTTTCAACTTCAGCTGCTCCATCAACCCTTGCAGGTGCCCTTAACGCCTCCCATCTTCACCATAGATCTCTCTCTCCATTGCTACTCTCCTCAAGTCCTTCCTTCTCTTCTGTTTCCCAGAGAAATCAGACGCAATCAGGAGGAGAATACTTAAATTTCTACCTGCAAACATGTCTGAATCCATTCTTACCAGGAGCAGTGAAAGAGGCACCCCTGTTCTTGTCCAAGACGATTCCCTTCTCGATTTCAACTCTTTTTTTTTTTTTTTTTTGAGATGGAATGTCGCTCTTGTTGCCCAGGCTGGAGTGCAATGGCGTAATTTCAGCTCACTGCAACCTCCACCTCCTGGGTTCAAGCGATTCTCCTGCCTCAGCCTCCCGAGTAGCTGGGACTACA